AAAAAAGAATTTGAACATATAAACAGAGCTAAAATCAACTTTAGCTCTTAGCATGGATACCATATGAAAATATTATATTGTTGAGCACACATTTTGTTGAGGACTAAACTAATAATGACTGCATTACTCGAAACACTTTGAAGTCAATCTCTGAACTCCACACACGTATAGCTGCAACTTCAAACAGTGCTTCAATCAGTTTGTGCCGCTTGCCGCGGCTGTTTTTGGCTTTGGCTTTGTCTTTAATTTGTAGCTTTCTTTCTTTCTACTGCTGCCATTTTTGAATATCTAATTTGAGCAGCGCACTTCATGTTTTTATAGCTTTCATATCCTTGCGAGCTTCTAGTTATTTATTTATTTACTTATTTATGTGTGTCTGTCTGCCTGTCTGTGTGTCTCTCTATATGTGTGTATATAACATACACTTACCTACTTACTGACAGCCCTCTACCAGCACCCCAAAATGAGCTGTCCCCCGTTCGCTTCTCTTGACTGTGGCTGTTCCCGAGTTTGGCTTGGTTTGGTTTCATTTCATCTCATGCCAAACTTACCTCCAAGGCAAGCAGGGCTGGGAGCAGAAGGACTTCCAACCCAGAAAAGCCGAGCGCAATTCTAATGGGAATTTAAAATTTTTCACCATAAAGATGTTGCTGCCTGCCTGCCAGCTCGTTCGAGGCCCTCCTCCTCCATCGCACTGTTTCTCTTCACTCCAGTTCCTGCCCAGTCCTTGTTTCTTGCATAAAATGAAATTGTATTGCAGTTTTTTTATTTAGGTTTTTTTTCCCCGCTGCTGTTGCTTTATGGCTGGACACACAAATTGCTGGCTCAGCAGCAACAACAGCAACAGAAACTACAGTTACTGCTACTTCAGTTCGGAACGGGTTCTGTCTTGGGCTTCGCATTTCATGCCAGTTTCATGCCGCTGTGTTCAGTCCACTTCACGCTACAATCACCAACACCATCCACCTCCAACCTCTCTCAACCCTGCTCTCCACTCGACTCGACTCGACTCGACTCAACTCGACTCGACTCGCCTCGCGAAACACAATAGAAAATCGCAATTCGTATTTTTAGAGCAACATGAAAATTTATGATACATTTGCCACGTCGCATCGCGTCGCCACGCCTCGCCCGCATCAAAGCGGTAGGGAAGGGTTTGAATGGGTTGGGCAATGGTTGATGGGGAAGACGCCTCTTAGCTCGTTTTGTCTACTTTCAAATAATTCGAGTTAAATAAAATGTTGATAATTGTAATGGAATTTTATGTTACATTTTGCACAATGCATTCTTTTTAGCCAGTGTTCAAAGCAAATTAAATTACCCAATGCAAGTATTTTTCAACTGGTTCGGATATTTATATCGATTACTTAAGCCCAGCACTAAAATCAACTAAGTAGCAGAACTAAGCCCAAACATAATCGACTAAACTTGATTACTTGCTCGCACATATATACAACATTTATCCCTATTAGCAGCCATATCATTCATATGTATATTCATATTTATTTATATATATATAATAAAGTCATAAAGAAACTTACATACATATGTATATATACTCATATGTTTACAAATTTCATTTAGCCAAGTCTAAGAGTTGAAAATATTTCTATTGATTCTATTGATGATATATTTTGTGTATAATTCTCAGATTAGTGTATCCCATTCAAATATTCTGCACAATTGCAATTGACTCGCTTGCGAATGCCCTTGAGTTTATACCAAATCTAAGTGTGAATATATCGCATGAATATGTATTTTATAGTATTTATTTTTCTGTCTTTTTGTAATATTTTATTGCTGCTTCACACTTTGTTGGAAGGGGTGCAAATGCCATCAAATAGTTTTCCGTTCCGATTTGTTTTGCACAATGGAAACGGAACGGACAAACAGGCATGAAAGGCAATTGAGATGGGATATGCGATGAGGAGAATGGGGAATGCCTTTATCAATTTTATCTGTCAAATATTTCCGAAACATTTGCCATTCTATTTGCATTAGTAGCCACAGTTTCCTTGTGCCGTTGGTTGGTTAGTTGGTTTGGTTTGTAGGTTGTTTAGTTGGTTGCTTGGTTGGCTGGTTGGTTAACTGTATTTTTGTATTTCTTTCGTATTTCCTGGCGGCATCAGGATCCTCCTACTCGACACGCCAGTTCGACGCCAATGAATAGCAAAATGGCCTCCTGTATAAAATGGAATGGAAACGAAACGAAAGCAAAGCAAAGCAAAGCAAGGCGACAGGCACACAAAAGGCATAGAATGGAAAGGAAAGGCAAGCCTGGACCAAGAACTACTGTATTCACTTTGCGGCATGGATTTTTTTTGTTTTGCTCCTTTTTTTGGAATGGTTGGTTGGTTGGTCTATTCCCCAGCGGAAACTGCTTATCACACATTTCCACACAGCCACGCAAATTCACACAAGTGCGGTAAACGAAACACAATACAAAAATTGCAAAAAAAAATAAGAAATAAGAAAAATAAGAAAAGAAAAACGAAATATAAAAATGAGAGAAAGTTACGTTATGGAGGGGTGCGAGAGGGATGGGGGTGGGGGGCGGGAGAGTGTGCAGGGGCAGGGGGATTTGCCTGACTGCTGGTAAAGTAATAGCGTACAAAGAATGATGCGTAGACATGATTTCCGTGCGGTTGATTTCCCGCACAGTCTTACCTTCCTTGCCCCATCCTGGGTCCCTCTCTCGTTCGCCGGCCCGCTGTGCGCTGTTGCTTGCAACAAAACTATTTGCTTGGGGATTTAGTTTCTGGAACCTTTTTTTGTGCGTATACGCAACATCTTATCTACATGTCTATCCGTGGCTACTGCCAAAACCGGATCGGCCCGAACCGAACAAGGCATCAAGTACGTTCGTCGTTCTAAGCTGCCAGCTGCCTGAAGTAGCATGTAATTCATCTTATTCCCCAAAGACAACTTCGACAACGATAAAGAGGTTGAGGTGGAGGCTGAGTTGGAGGTGAAAGTGTGGGAAAAGTTCTGAGCCTGAGACTGCCACAGTGTGCCGCATCGCCAACAGGCATCTACTGAGTCTGGCAACTGAGGAGCTGCAGTCATTGCCGAAGCTGATGCTGTGGCTGTCGTCGCGCTATGTGTGTATCCATTGGGACATACCTGGTATGTGGCACAGCTCAACTCAGCTGAGCTCGGGCGCAGAAAGACGAGACACGCGCCTCATTACGTTGAGTCGTTACGTGTCGAGTTCGTGTTTGAGTTGGAGTTGGAGTTGCCCAACCTGCTGCTTACGGTGGACCGCATGCGTAATGAATTTTAGATGAAATTTCAATGGCTGTGAAAGAAGTTATGACCCACAGACTCATCAGGCTCAATAGCTCATGGCCATGGACACCTTATATTTTTTATTTATTGTTTTCTTTTTTGTTTTGGTGGGTGTCTTTCGCAAATTTTAATGCACTTTACGAGTTACTAAACGTTTAGGTTTATGACCTGCAAATAGTTTTATACACCGACCTGTTTACGAACAGTGAAATCATTGGTCTCCTTACGAACAAGTATCCACAACCTTCTCTGCAGCCTCCACTTGACAAGTTACAAGTATACTTAAGTCCCTTTTAAGTATACTTAACACATGCTTTTTTTCCAAATTATTTATGATAATTATTCCTTGATGAATAATGTTATTTTTGAGTATTCTCATAAGAATTAAGTTTTCAATCGTACACTTTGTGATTATATTTTAAAGTATTTTGTATATAAGCAGGCTTAAGCGCTGACTAACTTTATTCAGATAAACCGAATATATATATTTGCTAAAATTTTAACGTTGCACTGAAACATTCAGTTTTCTGTTTGAGTTTGAACTTGAACCAAAGTCACATGCTCTTCTTTTCATGTTGTATAGAGTTAAACAGCTCACAAAAAATACTGTAATAAACAGGAAAAAAGCCCAATGACATAACAGGGTCGATGGCAGACTGCATTAGCTGATGGGTTGCGGGGGAGGGAGAGTGTGGTAAAGTGTGGCAGCGACTTTATTTTTATTACCCTTCCCCTTCATTCGGTGCAAAGCCACAGCCCAACTGTGGCCCAACTGCAAACATAATTTTTGCTGCTCCTAAAACCAGATAAATGTAGAGAAGAAATTAAATACGTGAGGCAGAGGCGACAACGGCTGAAAAAGAAGACCCGCAAAGCCTGACAGAAAAGAAGATGTTAAAAAATGTTTTCAAAATCGCTTGCACAAAGTTCCTTAACCCCAAGCGGCACCACACTGCACGACACTGCACCACACGCCCCCTCCACGCAACTCTCTAATATTATTTTCAACATTTATTTGCGACGCGAAAATAAAAATAGAGAAAAACACTGAAAATGAAACGAAAACCGATCCGAAAACTGACGGGACAATAAGGGAAAAGAGGGGGAATATGTTAAATGGAAAAGGGCTCACTGAGTAACGAGTAACGTGGCGAGCTGCAGCAGCTAAAGTTAAGAGGGGGCCAGGGCGTAGCAGTCAAATGCATTTTAGGTAAACATTGTGGGCTGGTGGGCGTGGCTATCTGGCAGACGTGGCTGGCTGCCGCCCAATTGACGTAAATCGTGCGCAAATTTTTGGCAGCTAAATGACTGCGGCTAAGCTGCTCTTTGGCAAAGGTCAGCAAACTGTGTGGACGTCCACTATTCCCTGCACACTCCTGCCCCTATTTACAATTCCACTACTTATCCTATTCCCTGGCTAAAGTGCATTTGACTTTTGCCTGAGGATGACGTCATCATTCATTTGGCGACAAATAAGTACAAGTTGCATCGAAATTTAAAACATCTCACAATATGAATTCAAATTCGTGAAATTTTTGGAAATTTAGAAAATGTAAAATCGAGAATCAAAATTTGAAGTAAATTCCAAATCTTAGAAACAGCTTTGAATAGGTTTCGAAATCTATAGATTGTGAAACAAATCTATTTTTGGAAAATCTAAAAGTCAGTTAACATTTGACTTTTGCACAATTTTGACACACAATTCTTGACGAATTCCCACAATTCTCAATAACTTTCATCAATTTACCATAAATCTTCACAAATCTGCAGTATGGAAGATCAGCAAGCCAGCCAACCGATAAGTATCGAGAGTGACAGTTCAACTACCATCATTGTCAATATGCCGGAAATTACAACGGTCTGTGGGTCTGCATGTGGCACTGGATCTGGTTCTGGGTCTGGGTCTGTGTCTGTGGCTAGCGTAGCAGCCACAGAGGAAAGAACCAACGATTCGGGTGTGCATTTGTTGGTATTGTTGTCCTTGGACAGGAAACCGCGACGCGTGACATTTTCGGAGGGTGTTATCGACAACGAATTCCTCAATCGTCGCAAATCGAAATGCTGTTGCATTTACCGTAAGCCGCACGTCTTCGGCGAGAGCTCTTCATCCTCGGACGATGAGTGCGAGCATTGCTGCGGTCATCCCGAGGTGCGTCTGCGCAATCGCCTAAGAAAAAAACATCAGCAGCAAGAACAGCAGCAGCAGCAACAGAACGAGCCAGAGTCAAAGGTGCGAAAGTGCCATTGTCGCTGTCATGGTCAGCAGGCAGCCCCAACTCAGGAAGAATCTGAAAAGGACACTGAGATAACTGGTGACTCTGACAGTTTGATGACCAAAACAGAACTCTAAGGCCCACCAAGATTCGGATGACAATCACAATCGATAGTCATAGAACTGTAGATGAACTCTACGTTTCTGGATAGTACTCATGCTTCTACTAAATTGTAATGTTTAATTCTCATTTGTAGTCCACAACAATTCCTTAATTAAATCACCAATAACATCTTTCATCAGCGCAACTCTTTAATCATATCATATCATATCATCTATAAGTTGCTTACTAAATTCCTTTCGGCTCATAAAGCATGTGCCGTATGTGCCACTTGCTAGATATTCCGATTGCAAGTTGTGTTGAAAAATGTTGTTCAGATTATGTACATAGTGTGGGCGTTAAATCACTTGCTTAACAGTTTTGACGATTAAAAGCCTTTTGGCAAGGCCAAAGAAAGCCGCAAAAAACTGGGGACTGTTGGTCGAGAGAGTCGACTACCACAACAGCCGCAGCAGCCACAGCCGGTACAAGCTCGCCATTAGTCAACGCCAAGCCACGCCCATAGTCCACGCGCCCCCTATTGATTGATTATGCGAACTGCCTGCGTGAACTTGTAAATAGATTAATGAACTGTTGCCGTTGCACTGTGTCCGACTGCGAGGGCAAATACTGCAAAATGCGAGATCCGAGATGGGGCAAGAGAGCAAGAGAGAGTTGGCTGATGGGAGTTAGCTGATATGGGATATGGGAGGAGGCGAGGGTGAATGCCTATAATGCCTGATGCAGTTGTTGGCTAGCAGTTCTGATGGGGCTTTGGCTTTGCCACCGTCTGGAAGTTGTTTCAACTTTGACACATGGCGGCCAGGCTAGGATTCAAATTATGCAATCGTGCATATATCCCAGCATATCCCTCCATGGCATGGTACCAATTCGCAAAGACCAGAAAGAGAAGAGAAAAAACTCAAAAAAAAGTTTTAAAAAACAACAAAATTGCAAAAAATGGAGCGAAACATTTTCGTTTGTTGGGCGCTCGCTCTCAATTTCCCCTTCCTCTAGTCTTCCTACTTCTTTTTTTTTCAGTTTTTTTATTTATTTATTTTTTAACGAAGCTTTGAACCCGTTGCGACTCTGTCTCGCTATGAGTGCGAGTGTATATGTGTGTGTGTGTGCTATTAAGCCACATTTTAATATGTGTTGGTGTGCTGTGTGCCGTTAGTCGTTTTTATGAGGTCTCTTGGCGCTTGATTCCGCGGCCCAAATGCCGCCAACCGCATTTGAAGTGGCTGCTGGAAATGAAATACGCCACAGCAAACAGTTACCACAGTTTGCATAACTCAACACAAACGAATAATCCTTATACATATATAAATACACATTATATATGTATGTATATATACATATACATATGTATACATATAGTACATATATATATACATACATATCTATGCCTGTATGTGTAGGACACAGCGGATTTCTTAACTTGGTCAATGGGTCGCCCGATCGGCATAAGGAATTCGGTATTCAGGGTTCGGGTTTGATGGTTTGACGGTTTCATGCTGCTTAATCGAGTCAAGCACTTGGGAGTCACATTGAGTTTGTGGCCAACACATCATCATATTAAATAAAATTAAATTGCAATATTGGACACTCTAAGGCGCTTTCACTTTCACGTTTCAACTTTAAATTCATCAGAATTAACAAATATCACTCGTTAACTCAACTGTCATAAATAAGTTATCTGAAAAAAAAAAGAATACAAAAATACAGAAATACAGAAATACAAAAATAAATTGATTATTTTCGAATAATGTAAAATAATTATTGCAATTTCTAAATATGATGGACTAAGCAAAAATTATAGTATGTTTAAAGTTTGCCAGTTTTATTTTATTCGATCAAAAATATATTTGTTATCCCTTTGATATGTTAAGGAGACTTACCGCTCAGTGTATTGTTGGGCTGTTCAACAAGCAATCTCATCTACTTTTATGCTTTCACGCAGCCTCCTTCTCCGCCCATTGTTCCCCTGTCTGTCTGTCTGTTACTGTCAAATGATGTCCTTGGCTGAATGGCATACCGAAAGCCCCGGCAAGGCTCAGCTGTCAATGCGAATGTTCCCTGTTTTTTCCTGTTTTTCTGGTTGCCATTTTTCGCCAGCTCCGCATTGATGAGGTTGAACATTGTGTATGTTTGGGGTGCTCCACCGCTACACAGCTCTACAGTTCTACAGTTCCACAGTGGCGCTGCTCCCATTTGATGTGTTTTAAAATGCGCCCCATAAATAACGGTAATGACAGATCCTGACATCGCAGTCGTCCTTTGCTCGCACACCAAAACAGAAAAAACAAAGAGAATGCGAAATCGCAATCACTGGCGAGCCAAGCTGTGACTGCCCCCCTGCCCCTCTTCTGCCCCATCCCACCCCAAACTCTTGCAGCACAATTCAGCTGCTCAGCTCCGAAGCCGAAGCTGTAGCCCAAGCCCAACCCCAAAATGAACCCGTAACACCCGCCCAGCAATTGAATCGCTTGTAGGCTATGAATAAGTCGATTACTAAAGCAAACTGACAGCTCAAAGCAACAAGAACAACAACAACAGCAACGAGCTAACCCAACAACAACATCAAAAACAACTTACGCATTAGGCAACGCTCTTGGCTAAAACTGTGACAGGGAATGCGATGCCTATTTCTACTGCGACTCCCCTCCACTTCTACTTTGCAGTCTCAATTCCAGCTTTCATTCGGACGGAATTTTCAATTTTTTTTGTTTTCCATTTTTGTTTATCGTTTTTGGTTTTTTAACACCAGCATTAAAATGACGTGTTGCCATGGTTCGTTTGTGTTGTTGCACTCCTTTTTGTGAATCATTTAAAAAGCACTTAAGTAGAAATTAAAAAGAAATTATTCACTTTGGCACATTTCACTTTGCAACAATGGGGCAGTAGCAAGCAACAATAGCAACAAAAACAACAGCAGCAGCAATAGCATTCAGAGACGCACAGAATACACAATTCGCCCCCACTCTCTCTTTCTCTCTTTCTCTCCCTACCTCTCCATATATATCTCTCATTGTGTGTTTAATGCTCTGCAATTTTGCGTTTGTGTAATTTTTGCGGTTTACCACATTATTTGCGTCAAGAACGATACTACAGACCACAACCGTACAGAGCAGTGTACCCCATTTTGGCCGGCTTCAATTGTGGTTTTAATTTTGCCCTTCGCTTAGCCATTGGCATTGTCATCGGCATCGGCCTCGTTGCCATCCTTTTCGTGTACGCCAATGACCCATGTCTATATGCCTGTGGTATTTATGCGCACTTCACCACAATATTTAGTATTATTTTAATTGTTTACGACAGCCCCAGTGCCAATGGTCATAATTTCAAATATGTGTCCGTATGCTTTGTTGTGGTCTTCACATAATTAGTTAATATAACTGTTGCTTTGCGTTTCTTTAAACTGTCGAGAGTCCTACATTGGCACCTATGCGTGAGTTATGCTCAAATTGGTACTTCGTAGGCAGTTGTGGTTAAGTAATAAGGTATACCTTAAAAATAAATCTGAATATGTGTAGCCATAATTATTTGCCCAACTTTGACATTTTCTAATTGGTGTATTGATTGGATGAGTGCATGGGATTTAAAGCATATGTGGACACTTAGCAGTGTTTAAGTAGTAATAGACGTGCTAAAAAAAACATGAAAACTAAAATGGTTTACATTAAGAAAAATGACATGTGCTCTACTCGCATCACAAAATGGGCTGGCGAATTAATTGTTCTCAATTCTAACAAATAATCGCATATATATATATACCATAATTGTACTACCCCAAAGAAATGGGACGAGGGTAAATATAATTGCTATATATTTCTTATACATTTTGCAGCATTTCGCTATGTTTTAGTGTTGTGGACGGGGTCTGTCGCTTGCCCGTTGTTGTTGCAGTCACAGGAGGAGCGCACTCCATGTGGAGCAGGCAATAATATTTGTCGCCCCTAAAAGTATGTACTGCAAAATTATTGACATCTAAATTACAAGCATTTATGCTTCCCTGTGTGTGTGCGTGAGTGTATATGTGTATGTATGTGTGTGTCTCGTATGCTTATGGCTTTGTTTGCGACGTGCCCTGCTTTGCTTTAATGCCATAACTGCCGCACAATCAGTTACAGTCTCAGCTGTCAATAGATTGTTGACATTTTTCTTTATATTTTCATATCTCATACACACACACACACACACACGCGCGCATTCTCATATGAGCTGGCTGTCTGGCTTGGGGCCTGTTTTGTTGCCCACTTTTTGTGTTTACTGCTTAAATCTGCCAATTTACTCGTTTACGTTTAGGCTTTATGCTTCTTCTCCTTGTTGTTGTCGATGTTGTTGGCGTTGTTGTTGGCGTTGTCTTCTAGGGCTCTTTTGGTGGGACCAGCACGTATGTATATCATGACTGCGACCCCTTCGTGTGGGAAATTAATATCTGTGTCATTTTTTTTTTCTTTTCCTTTTTTGGGTTAATAAGGCTAAATTGAGAGAATGTGCGACGCACTTAATTATCATCATATTTATTGTCTTTATTTATGGCTGAATACGAGAGAGTCTCAAGTCATGGGGAGAGAGGTGTTGGGTAGCTGTCAGAGAGCGTGAGATAATGTGGGGGAAATTTCAGTTTTGCTTTTTATACATTTGATATGGTCATATTATTTGCAATCATTATTTATGACACCTTCAGTGGAAGTGCCTTACGCACAGATTTCAAGCATAGACAAGGGAATGGGGATTTGAGTTGAGTTACAATTCATATTGTATTTTATGGTCTATAGAATATAGACGAACTTTAAAGCATACAAAATATTTGTCGGCATAAAATTAACAAAAACAATTAAAAATTAATGACTTGACCATCAATATCGAAGCTACATAAAGAAAATATTTTTTCCATTTCCACACAGACTACAAGTGTTTTCTTTTTTTAATTTTCTCATTAATGGCAGTGAAAAAACATATTATAAATTGCTTTCGCACAAGCTATAAAAGATAGGTATATACGAGCAATTAATAACATGCCAGAATTGACTCACTTTTTCTCTGAAAGTCTTTTTGAAATCTGTAGTTGAATGATTTCGTTGACAAGCAATTTATTTTTAATTATTTGTATACCCTTTTTGTGTAAATTTTTGATGTGTATATGTATGTACATGATTCATTAAATGGACAGAATACATGAATACACTTCTG